TCAGGGCCAGCTCTTGTGGAAGGCTGTTCAGTCATCAGTCCCAGGGGTGTGTGGAACCTAAGCACTATTCCTGAGTTTGTCAAGGATGTTCATCATTGTGCCAGGTTCATGAGATCAATGAAATTTGAAAGCACTCGATATCTCACAGGATCGGGCCCTCTCACATCACAAATCTCTCATTGTCAGGAGGGATCAGAAGCCTTGCAGAACAATATGAGCAGTTTGACTGTGGTATGGAGTGGATGACACTGCTATTATTTGTATCACAGAACAAGGATTTGTGATTTCACACAGACTGAAGCAAAAGTCAGCAAAAAGGCTTGGAATAAGAAACCTGAATACTTGATTCCACTGACCTCTGCTCTGATACATTAGATATATTGCTCCTCAGCCCTGAACTAAATCCTACTCTATTGTTCAAGGACCACACTATGATTAAAGTCACTTGGTCACCAGAAGTGACTTCATTATTGTTGGTGTTTCTCAAATGTCCTCAAGAAGATTTTCACAAGCACTATACTTCACTCCAGGCTAAAGGTCATCATTCTCACCAGCACCTGGTAATTCCTTGCACCCCCATTTGTGAATTTTTCCCTGCAGAAAGTTGCCGCTTATGCAGTAAGACCAGCTCTTTGGAGACTGACTTCACCTTACTGCCCTGTATAGTGAACCTATTTAAGGAGAGCGGAGAAAAAGCCTCAGACTTGTACCACAGCCTTTCACCTGTGACTTGTCACTGGTTTCACAAACGCTGTGAGCTGCTGCTTATACCCCTCGTGCTACAGTAGCTACAACAGAAAGCAGGAGATGGAAGCAAGGAGGCCTGCCTCACCTTCCTCAGCTGAGGCTCTGCTTCAGTACTGGCAACATCTCAGTGAGTGTCATCCTTTTAACCAAAAGGATTTATACCAAAAGATTGGCCTCTAAAGTTGAGGTGGAGCACTGTGTCAGGCCAATGCCCTGCAGCACTGAGCTGAAAAGATGATGCTTCAATGAAAGAAAACACATACAGAACACGCACAGCAGGGAACAAGCTGTGTTAGCAGCTTGTAATACTGGATAATGAAATGATCTCTACTCGGATAGCAGTAAGCGTCACAACACAGATTCAGATCACCCCTCCCCAGGAAAAAAAAATCCAAGGAGTGAGCCTGGGGAAAGGAGAACTCCAGGATGCCAGGCTCATGAGATGCCCTGCAAATTCTTCCCTCGGGGTGAAAGCAGCAGGTGCTCTGCCCATAGATCCCAGGGTGCAAATAATCACAGCGATGATGCTGACTTCGGGAATGTGGATATGGGGATCACTGGAGCTGTGAATGAGGCAGTGAAATGTGAATTCCTTGACCAGGTGTGCCCAGCCAGTGCAGACACCAGGCACCCCAAACAGGGGCCAGCCACAGCCAGGTTGCTCAGACAGCAACTGTTATCCTCCCCGTTTGCCCGTGAAGCCATGCCAGTATATTGATATAAGACTTCTCCTAACATCACCCTTGCAGCACAGCCCTTGGCAGTGGATGCAAGAGCTGGTATGGAGGAAGATTATTTGTGCTCCTGAGATGTGATTGCCCTCTGGTGGAAAGCCTTTGCTCTGCCAAGCTGCACATCCCCATTCACTGCCCAAGATGCTTCCCAGCACACTCAGCCAGTCTGACTTTGCGACTCAGGCTCATAAAAGCCAACATCACCCTGGCTTTAGAGACCTGAACTTTGGGCTTACACAAACAGTGCTAGCCAGCTCCAAATGTATGCCTGGTGTATGCCAGCCTGATTCTCACTGCCCTTCAGCTTGCTCCTATGGGCTGGAAATGTTGTTATGCACTTTCAGTTGAAAATAAACTCATATGAACACTTCCACAGCTGGCCCACAGGACATTGTGAGGGCAGCCTTGTCCTGTCTGCAAAGGGTTAACTTTTGCAACTACATCATTAAAAACCTACTCAAGATATCAAAAGCTGGCGTAAAACCACAGTTAAAGAGTGATGTGCAGCAGCATGGCCAACAAGGCCAGCGCAGGAGGAGTTCAGAGGTCCTGGATGCAGCAGTGAGACTGGGAAAAATAGGCTGCCTCAGGGAGTGTCACTAAGGCACTCCCTGTAGTACCTCTCATGTAGCTCATTGTGGATGTTCAACCAGTCAAGGACAAACTAGTTAAACACTAATAGCACCTGGATCTTACCCTGTGCTTTTCAGCAATACAGCCCAATGCACTTGACAAAGATGGGTCTTTACTATCACCCCTATTTTACATCGAGGGAAACTGAGGCACACAGGTGCAGCAACTTGACCACGGTCATGCAACATGTTGGTGGTAGAGCCAGGAATAGAAGCATGTGTCTTGATTCCTCCTCCCGACTGGAGAGAGAACTTAACAGCAGTCCTGCTGCTCATACCTACAGTCACCCAGGATGGCATCCTGAGTGTATGAAAACCATTGAAGGCGATCTGGGACCATGAACACAGGGAAAGCTTGGTGGCTCTTAGCTGCAACATCATCCTCAGGGTTGCACAGCCTTTGGGAAAGATTTTCATTTAAATGAACCTTTACTGAGGACTGACAGCACAAACCTGGGAGCATATATCCCAATACCAACATACTATGCAAAAATATACACCATTAATTGTAAAACCTCACATATATGTAAATATAGAACCTCTAAATAGTCATGTGCATTTCAAACATACTTCACTCGAGCAGGTTGCATTTTGGTGCATATATATGAGACCTCCTTTACCAGGAAAACCTCTCCCTTCACAGCAATGCTTCTCTTGAACTCTGGCTATTTAAGAAAAAGGCAGCTTCTGCAAGGTAAGCCAATGATTCTTAACCAAAGTGCTGGCACATTTTGGGGTGCCTTGAGATCCTTCCAAGGGTGCCACACAATGTCAGCACTGGTAGGTGTGCAAACATTATTCCCAAGATAAATCCAAAGATTTCAAACAGGAAGTCATAGCATTCTGACCTGTAGTGGTCTCTCGGAGTTCTTTGGAACAAGAATTGCTCTATTATTTTTCTGTTATTAAAAAATGAGTGAAAACTAAGAGCTGGCATTTCCTAAGGGGTGTTTTGAGTCTCACAAGAGGTGCCTTGCATCTAAAAAGGTTGAAAACCCCAGTGCTAAGCACTCCCAGCTGTTAAATAGAGTCAACAGAAATTGAGGAAAGTCAGCACTGTGAGGTGCTCAGCACCTTGCTTGATCTTCCAGCCCCATCAAAAAGAGTGAAACAAATCAAAACTGTGAATTGTTTAATGCTGTGTTATTGGCTGTGGGACTAGTGTGCCACAGAGCAAGTGGTTTCGTGTTAATGCAGCTGATCCAGGTGTAATGTCTACTCTCAAAGACTCCAATCACAGGTAGGAAGCACGTCGCTTAAACACTGTAGTGACGCATGCAAGGAGTTGGACTCTGCTCCCAAGAACTATGGCTGTCTAGGCCTGCTCCCCAGATTCCACCATTGAGGAGTGGGTAAAGCTAGTCAAAAAGAGAGATTCAGCAGTGGGGAAGGGACAGCCCAGGATTTTACTCCCCTTTTCTTCCAGCACCCTCCAGAAAGCTGTGAGATACCTGATACTCTGGGAGGATAGGCTGTTCTTCTCAGGAACCAATAAGAGAAAACATGAGACACCAAAACTACCCACCAGCAAGAAGTAGCAACACCAAGTGCAAGCAACTATTTGCAAATGGCCATGTCAGAGCTGCACTGGCTCAGCTAACAAATTTCAAGGGACGTTCTGAGAAAGGCCTGCTGGGAAGGCAGTGGTACGACAGGAAAACTGCTGTGGGAAAAGCTTGTAGGATGAGAAGGACAATGGGGAGGGTACTGTAAGTTATTTCAGTGGTAGAACACCTCAAGCCTGCATTCAATTTGTTACCAGGCCCCCATGTGTTGTGAGCCCCAGGCATGCTTATTTCCATGAAGGTTTCTTGGGCAAGCCTTGGTAGTACATCTCCAGTAAAGCTGCAAAGTAGGCCTGTGTGAAGCGGAAAGTATTCGATTCATACTCAGATGCGGCTTATTTGGAGGGACAGTGATTCGATTTGGTGATTTGAGTCACTGTCCCGATTCGATCTGGCCAAATCAGATTCAAAGATTCAGTGCTGATTCGGTGATTCGGCCATAGACTATAATGGGGAATCACTAAAATATGTATAACTTTGTCATTTGTTTGCAGATTTGGATGAAAGCAGCAGGGATGGTAGCCCCTTCTGAGGGCATGAAGTTTGCCAAGTTTCAAAGGGGTTTCTATGAAAATGCACCTCAACCTGTTGAAAGCAAAACTCATATCACTTGTGTGTCTTAAGGGGTGAGGGTTGTAGCCGTGTTGGTCTAAGGACATAGGCAGACAAGGTTCTTTGGGTAGATGTGATATCTTTTATTAAACCAACTGAATAGTTGGAGAAATATATCTTAGCAAAGCTTCAAGTTTAAAAACCCTTTATCAGGCTGAGGAAGCACCTGCAGTTGGTGTGTATGCTGGATGGAAGGAATAGTAAAGAAGCTAGAGGCTGGCCTGGCAAGCAATGCAGGCAAGCAAGCCAGTCAGTGAAAGTGGAAATTGAGGCATCAGGGGGTGAGAGAGAGGCTGGGGGGGGAGGGGGATGTAGTAGATAAAAGTGGAGAGGTACTTGGGGAGTCAGATGTCAGGCAGGTTATACTGTGTCATAAATCCTATGTCTATATTGAGTTTGTGAGTTTTTGTATCTAGGAGGTTGATGAAGTGAAGTTCATAGACACACTAAAACCTGC